TGAAATATATAAATTTAGTAATATACTAGCTAAATTAGTAGAATAAGAGAAAAGAGAAATTCTACTAAGAAAACTATTTATAGCTAAAATAACTTAAATATACTGTGTGACTTTTCTTGGCATAATCAGGTAATTGTAATGCAGTATGACATGTATGGTGCAGTATTTGATGTAGTAATGATTTGTGAAATAAAATATAAATCTAATATAATTTTGTTACAAGAGTATTAATATATTCAAATATTAATTTTTTCATATTATTAATATAATTATAATTAATATTATAAATAATTTCAGAAATAAGATAGATGATAATAATATTTTTAATAATCTCTTTATAACTTATACTTATTTTTTATATATAACTAAGATTATTTGATTATATATTACTGGATAATAAATTTTATATAGTTATATTTGTATAATATATATAATAAAAAGAATAATGTTATAATTTTACTTATTTATAATACTATTTATTTTTATATTACTTTAATTATATAATATAATAAGAAAGTTAATAAAATTAAAATTAATAAATTATCTTTAATATCTTAGTTATTATATTACTATCTTTCTTGTTAACAAGAAAATATATATCCATATTTCAGTAATCAAAATATCTTGAATATATAAGATAAAAAAATAAAATACTTTTTAATATTATATATTGAGTCTAGAGATATTATCTTAATTAATTATGACTTGCAATAGCTAATCAGAGAATTATAATCAATTATAATAATCAATTAGAGAATTATAATCAAGTTGTGATATTATCTTTAATTAAGTCTATAAGAGTTAGTCATTTATAATATTATAGTTTTTTTAATTAATTATAATTTATAAAGCAGAGATCTTGTGATACTTTTTTTGCAATTACTATATAATCTTAAAGTACTTAACTCAATAATTTTTATTTATTAGAAATTTCAAAGTATACTGAATATTAAATCCAAGATTTTTTTTATCTATTAGATATTTAGTTAGTGATTGATATATATTTATTATTTTAGTTTAATATAATTTTTGAATAATAATATCAAGTCTCTTATTCATTGTAAATTTCTTAATTATAGTAATAATTATTGATGATTTACTTGCTTTATTAATTACTAGCTATCTAATTATTTTTAATCACTTTATTTGAACAATATTCTCAATTTGATATGTATAATCTGGAGTATTTTTATAATATTTGATTTGTATTATTTGTATTATGATGATATATATTACTTTGATTCTGATATCACACTAATTAGAATCATATTTACTTATCTTTTTCCTCTTTTCAACTAGAATTTCTGCTTTTTGCATCTTGAATTCATGATATTTTAAGAGATAATAGGTATAAATAATTTAAAAATCATTATTAAGAGATTGTAAACTATTATATTACATCCAAATATTGGATATAAGTAATTATAATTCTTTATGAAACTTCTTTTCAGATACTTCAAAGAAATTATTAATATTAAAATGACTCACATATTTTTTATTAATAAATATATATATGAATACACATATATATATGTGCATATATATATGTATGCATATGTGTATGCATATGTGTATATATATGTATATGTGTATATATGTGTGTAAGTTGTTTTTATAGTATTTCTTGTGGCTTAAATACAGCTTGAAATATAAGATTTGGTTTTTTTGCATTTCTTGCATGAATGTATTTGATTTTTTTTTGCATTTCTTATATGAATGTATTTGATTTTTTTTTGCATTTCTTATATGAATGTATTTTTAAGCTTGTGTTATTAATACAAGGCAAACTCAATAAGACAAAGGTCAGGGACAGAGACAATTTATTTGGCTTATCAAGATTTTCATTTTACTAAATTTCGCACAAAGCCAAATTTATATATAATAAAAAATTTGGTAAACCAGAAAAGCTTCAGCTTAATGCAACTTTGGCTTAGCTCTTAATGAGTTTGCCTTGTATAATTATTCCTTAACAGACATCACATTTCCTATCCACTCTTATCCTTATTGTTTTTATTTCTTCAACAACCAATCACTCCCAAATATTCAAACAAAAAAATTACCTTGCAATAATGACTAAATATATTGTGTATAGTTATACAACTTTAATCATTAGATAAATTCAGATTGACATGATCTGGATTTACATAATTCGAATTGACATATACTGTAATTCACTACCCTGCTTTAGCGTTTCCCTTTTTTTTGGGAATCAAATCGTTTTTGAAGTTGAATCAGATGATTAATAATGTCGATCACGGAGTCAACTATTATATATTATATCAACCAAAAAAGACCCTACCCTTTAACATATGACAATTTTTCGGTCATCTGTTGACTAGTGTAGGCAAAAATCAATTTTTCATGTGACACGAATGAATACATGTAACAGTAGATGTAAATGTTAGCGGTAGTGCATATTTTCATGCTTTAACGTTAGACTTATTAGAAGACCGTAAGTGATATTTTCACATTCAATAAAATGCCTTTATCTTTATAATTATTAATCTAAATCTAATATATTGTTACTTTAATTGAAGAAAATTTCGACTATTATTAGAATTTAAAGTAAATAAAATTAATTTTTTCCATGAGAAAGTCAATGATTTTTGTTTAGAAGTAATTACAAGTACTTTTGGTGTCACTGTTGCAACTGCTATTTAGAAGCAGATAAATTCTTGTCTTCTAAATTTCTGTTAAACGAAAACATTCCTTGGTACTATTCAATGAAAATATATAGAAAAAAGCAAATAAGAATGCAAATGGTGATGTTTATTTGTATTTTACTTTCATGGCATAACATTTTAATACTCTTTACCTTCGACATTGAATAATGTGTATTCTTATTGGTGAAGCATTTTATTCAAAAAATCAAATTAATTAAAAGAAAAGCATTCGTTTAAATAATAGCCATTATAAATATAGTTTGAAAATCTAGTTATATAATACATTTATCCAATTCGTTGATCTCTAATTCCTACTCGACATGACCAATACATGTACATATACATGTATCAACCATTATTTGTGATATTTGTTTCAGTAAAAAGCGAAATTCCAATAACATGGAACTTGCTTATTGCAAGATAGTTTTAACAAGATTCAGCGACTCCGTTATTTCGAGTTTTGATTGTAAAAAGCATTGAAAAGGCAACCGCCAGACGATTAGAGCGTTATCTTCTGACATCAATATTTTACATACAGTAATAAGTTTTGGCATTATGTCTATTTGCAAAACAATGTCGCTTTAAATCATAACAATGATGATTTTTCTTGTCTATCTAGAAATAGTTATTAGTGCTCAAATTCATTCACACGTGCACAAATTAGACTCAATAAATTATCTAAATTATATACCGACTATTTCCGCTTTATTAAATGATTATTTAGATGCGATGCGTAAATAGCACAATAACTCAAAAATTTGTACAATCTTAGGAAAAATCCTATAGAAAAATTTCAATCGGAAACCACTAATAATTAAATTGTCGTTTCGACTGAAAAAATAAAGAAAAAAGCATGTTGCTTTATATTTGCGCAAATCCAACAGCAAGATTTTGAACATCAAAGGCACTATATACGTTCTTGAGGAAAGTATCGCCGACTAACCATTGGTTATCCCCACCGATATTTTCGCCAGAAATACCAGAAACGCACATATCACTTTGGTTCGTTTGATCACGAGCAAGATCTTTTGGTGAAATTTTATAGGTAACACCATTGAATGTGAGAGCAACGACAGCGTCAGTTTGACATGGGACAAAGTATACACCTTGTTGAGAAATGGCACCTTCAATTGCATTGTGAATAGCTTCGGCGTCAGCAGGAGGAGCAATGAGAAGAGTCGTACCAGTATCAATGATAGCAGTCTTGTGGCTGAACCCAAGTGGCGTGCCATTCACGCTAGCATCGTCTAAAGCAATCTCCCAAAAGCCAGTATTACTTACTAGTTTATTATAATTAAGCTGGCCAGTGAATTTTGAAGAATCAACACCACCAAGAGTTAATTGACTGTCGCTGCCATCTTTTTGACGCCCAAGGAAGAAACCAAAAACTGGATCTTTAACAGCATTTTGTGCAACAAGCGTAGCGAAAGGCGTTGCCGCATTTTCTGAACTCAATTGGTTAAGACCCATTCCGAGAATTCCATCGAAATCCGTATTTTCAAAATCGCTAGACATATGTGTTGTAAGTCCGAAAGTTTGACCTTTCGCCACGGCACCAGCAACTATGACCTCATCTGTTGCAATAATTCCAGAAACTTCACCGGTACCATATTTAATATCAAATGGCTTATTATCGCTTTTGTATCCTTTGCTAATTTTTGGATTAAAAGTTTGATGAGCTGTACAAGCTGAATCGGAACAATCTTGTGAAGGTACCCAAAGATCAGATGAACCAGTATCAAAAATTACACTAAATGTTTGGCCGCCAATTTGAACTGGACCATAATAACCAATATCCATTCCTTCATCTTGAAGAGGACCGTTGAAAACCCCACCACCGGAATTATTAGGTTGGCTATCATTATTGATTCCAGTGCTATTATTGGTGTTAACAGCTTCAATGATGAAAGTCTTCGGTGCGGAAGCATCAAAGACTGAAGTGGAAGCAGCTTCTAGTGCTGAAATGGCATCTTGACTAACTAAGCCATTACTAAAGGCTGATTGAATATTATCCGCATATTTCAAAAGGGCATAATTTTTATTGATCTGTATCTTTTGTAACCAAGTTAGATAATCAGGTAATTCATTTTTTTTTAATCCAACATTGAATGTGGGTGTTCTGGAGGTGGGGGCTGCATCGACGGTTAGCGAGATAGTAGTCATCAAGAGAGCTAATGCTGTAAAAAGCTTCATTTTTATGAGTCAATGATTTTTTAACTAAGAAAAAAAAATCAAGGAGGGTGTGTTGAAGTCTTGTTTATGAATGCGGAAAAAAAGAGGATATTATAAAATGACAGTTTTGTCTTTCAGAGGAGAGTAGAATAAGATGCAAAAACCAGTTTGTATCTTAAAATGTGACGTGTAATGAAGGAAGGAGGAAAAATGAAGCTTTTTAGCGAGCACTTTTGTTTGATCCGCGACAAAAAATCATATTGAACGAACGAAGAAATGCGTCTCTTTATAAATATGAGCCTCGCGGATGTATATTTAATGCAATAAATGCATTCTATATTACATTAAACAACGATAACAATGACATCTATTGTTAGATTTTTTTGTTGAACTAAATTCGATTTCTTAGATTGCATTTTAAGTTAGCGTTAGCATAAACAATATATTACTTACCATATATAGTTTTGTAACATGCATGTGTGTATGCGAGTTAGATTATGTCAATTGACAAAGCAATATCGAACATTGGATGATTTTCATGTACGATGATTATATGCGCGTTGAATGAAACATCGCTATTTCAAAGAAAATCCAAGTGATTCTTTGTTGGATAACGACAATGTATGAAATGCAAATTTGGAACGTTAACACGGAAATTGATATATGCACAAAGGGAAAGTATGGCTCTCCTAGTGCGTCGACAAAAAGTGTTTTTCGGTGTTGCGATGCAACCCAATTGACCTAAAATTTAAATACATGTATACGTTTATATTTTAAATGTAGTCAGATTAAAAATAATGTCGTCGAAATAAACACATCGACATGTATCGTATCGATACTGGCTCTATTTTTAGATTGATTACGAAATCACCTTTTACAAATTTCTGATTGGACGTATCGCTGATTGGCTGACTGTAACTAGAATACGGTAACCAATAATAATATAGAAATCCGACACAAAAAAATTAAAGTGTTGAAAAATGTATAAATTTATGTTTAAATTGAATTTGGGGCATTAATTGAAATGTCGGGGAGACAATTTACATACAGTGGCTCGCAAAAGAAACGAAAAGCAAGAAAAAAAAATGGCAAAATTAGAATAGCTCGCCATTGAAGAATTATCGTTCATCCAAATAAAAGCAGGTTGCATTCGTGAAATAATAATCATGTAATGCAATTTTTATTTTCCTCCATCATTTGATTCACAAATTAATAGTTTTTATTTTTTTTAACTTTCCACCTAATTTGGAAGATAATAACATATATATCATTTTCTTTTTAGGCAAAAATATTCGAACATGATCCTACAATAATATATTGCTTAAATAAACATTTAAATCATATAAAATTTTAAACATATATGCTTGATAATCTAGTGAACTATTTAATTATTTGAATAGTATTCAAATCTGAGATTAAAAGTACAGAACAGAGTACTTATTTATACAGAATAAATGAATACAAAATAAATAATTTGGCATTATTGTTAGAATCAATTCTTGAACTAGTTTAAGATATTATTTAAATATGTATCATTATATGAAATAGTCAAAAATTTAGATCTCACTTGTAGTTTATCAACCATGGCAAAAGTATGTATAACTCCAGTCTTAACTTATATATTACAGTAAAGAAATCTTATAACTTGGAAATATATGTATATGCTTGTATTAAATGATGTGAAGAAAATAAATAAATCAGCTTATGATTAGTCAAAAATAATTTTTTCTAACAAAACTGATATGAAAGTTCAAAAGCAGTCATGACAGTCAAGAATTTGATGACATTATAAAGAAAATTTTAATATTAATTTCTTGATACTTACCTTTAAAAGTGATAAAAATCTGTAATAATTTGGAAAGATTTCACAAAAAAATTTAAAGGATCATTAATTTTTATAATGAATATAAAAAATAATAAAAAAAGAACTGCAATTACTCATCTCAAAATCTTTAAAAACTCAATTATTTCCACTTTAGAATGCAATTTAGAAATAAACTGTGAATTATACAATTCTTCAACATGATGATCTGTCAATTTATACTATGAGAAAAATTAAGTATTGATCAATAGAAAATAAGTTTTTGATTATTAATTAATCAGCAAATTTTTCAGATTTGAATTCAATAGAGAATAATAATAAGCATAATAATAAGAATAAAAAGCAGATTAAAGAAAAGCAAAATTACTTATCATTATAATAATTATTTTTAATATTAATATTATAAGTATATTAATTAGAATTGATATTAAGATTAAAATAAAGATTTGATAATATAAATTATATTTGAATAAATTTATTTATTTTTTATTTATATTTATAGAAATCTATTTTTGTTTCATTCTATCAAGTTCTTTTAGTTTTTGTTTTGTTATTCTTAAAAACTCTTTAATTTTTTCATGTATTTTAGAATATTTTAAAGAGTTATAATATTAAAAATACATAATATATAGTTCTTCTTATATATTAATAAAATAAAAGTTTTTTATTAGTTAATTATAAATTTTAATATTTTTCAATTATTATTATTCAATATTATAAATTATACTTCTTAATAATAATTATAACTTAATTATTAAATATTTATATATTAGTTATAATTTTCATATATAATTATTTAAAGATATAAATATTTGCAATATTAATATATAATTTCATTAATATTTTTAAATAAATATAAGAAAATATTTTATAAATTCTTGATTTGATTTTTTATAGTAATAGTTAAAATTAGCAATTTAAAAAAGCTTAATATTAATATATTTTTAGAATAAAAATTATAATATATTATTATTAATTCTAATATCTTAATTATTTTTCTTTTTAAGTTATTTTTTTTATAATTAGAATTAATATACAGTACTTATAAAAATTATTAGATTGTTATTTTTTATATAAGATATTATTATTAATATTTATTTGTATATTACTTAAATTAAATATTTAAATATAGTTAGAATTTATTTTTAAAATCTTGATTATATTAAAAAATATAACATTTTTTATTTTAAAATACTTATTTATTTTATTTATAAATTTTAAAATAATTTATTTTAAAATATATATTAATTTAATATAATTTTATTTATTTTTTTAATTCAAGATTTTATTTTTTATAAATGTAAATTATTTTTATTCTAAGTAATAATATCTTTATATAAAAAGAATCTTAATATAATATTAAATATTTTAATAATAAATAAATATTACTTTCTAATTTATTAATATTAATAATATATAATATAATTAAAAAATATTTTATTATAAATATTTTAATAATAAAAAAACTTTATTCTATTTATATTATAAACTAATTAAGAAAATAATAAAATATTTATCTTATAACAATAATAATAATTTAATAATAATCTTTATTTATAAAAACTTTTATTTATAAATTTATTATTTATAAGAATTTTTTTATAAAATTTTTCTTAATAAATTTTATTATAATACTTAAATCTATAAAGTTATTTAAAAGAAAATTTTTATAATCTTCTAGTTATATATTATATTTATATATTTAATAAAAACTTATATAAATATCAAGATAAATAAATAGTTTTATTTAATTATATAAACTTATATTTCTTTTATTAAGATAAATAAAATTAAAAAAAAAATATAAAACAAAAAAAAGTATTTTTAAATAATAAATCATTATTAAATAACTTATTAATATATAAATATTTAAATAGTAGTGTTTCTAAAAAATACTTATAGAGATATAAATATAAAATAAATAATTATAAATAAAAAATATAAAAAAGTAATATGCTAGCTATATTAATAAAATAAAAGCTAAAAGAAATTCTATTAAGAAATCTATAATTAAAATAACTTATTATATTATATGATTTCTTAATATATTAATTTATTATATAATACTATATATAATATAGTAATAATTTGTAAATAAAATATTAATTTTATTATAAATTATAATATACTTTTTAAATATTTAATTTTTATCAATAATTTAATTTTTCTGATTAATAATTTAATATTTTATTTTTTTATTTATTATTAAATTTTTATATTTTTATGGCGAATTGGCAAGTGGGTTTTCACTTGAATTTACCTAAATGATATTGGGTTGGGAGAGACTGGATTAATTAATAGGTAAAGAAAGGAGAATTAGACTATACTTGAATGATTTTCCACAAGTGGATTCTTCTCACATTTTTTTTTATTTTAAATTGACATATTGTTGTTTCTTCAGTTTTTTTAAAGTATTTCCAGCACTTTGAGATTGTTTTAGTTATTTTACACTACTTGTACTTTCGCCGAATAGTTTGCCAAGTATTTTGTTGAATACTTTGTTGAGTATCTTGTTCATCTTCTAGACTTGTTCAGTTCCATGTAAACTTTCAGTTTCGCGTGTCATTGTCCGACATCATTAACGTTCCAAAATGGAAAGAAAATCACACTATTCATTTAAGTTTCATGATCTCCCACAACTTCCACCACCTTCACGTCATTTGTATAATATAAATAATATAATAATTGATATCATTGACAAAAGAGTAATATAAGCAATCAATGAATTTTTAGATTTACGTATCAGGATAATGCTTTTAATAATTGGTTAACCGATTAACCGGGTTTTAACCGGTTGAAATCGGTTGAACTGGTTGAACCGATTAAAAAAATTTTCAACCGAATTTCTTCGGTTTGGGTCGGTTACCCGATTATGATCCAACCGGTTCAAATCACTAGTTTCATCATACATCTATTAGATGTTTGACACTAGAAAATTTGACATTTTTAGCCAATAGACACCTATTTAGAGTTACAATATATCATATATTCAGTTGAATGCTTGAAAAACATTTTATATAATTAGACCGAAATTTCTGTGCTTAATTTTTCGTTGTTCTAAATTAATCATTTTTAATTACTGTGAGTTTTTCATCATTTTTAAGGTGAGAAAATTAAATAGTAGTATTCTAGATTTTAAATAAACTTTATTTATAGCATTTTAACAAATATTTATTTTGCACATATTCTCAGTTTATGTTTACTGTATTTTTATAAATTTGTAAGGCAATGGAGAAATTATGTTAAATAAATAAATTAAAATATTTTTGCAAAAGTTGAAATACTTCATAATCATCAATATCAAAAGTAATTTTTGTATTATTATTAGAGTTCAACAGAGGTTCATTACAGGCTTTAGACAATAGTTACCAGTTATGGAACAAATAACCTAAATTAGCACCATTTCCAAAAATTGGTCCAATATTTTCTATCCTTTTAATTTTACTTATAAATCCATAAGATTCATTCGAGTCAAGTTGAAATAAAAAGCAATTTTATGTCCCATAATATTTACCGACATCTGACTTCCATTCCAATGGATTATATCCACCAATTATTTTTTTCGAATCTTTAACTTTAATCGCAATTACTGTTGGACCCAAGTTATCACAAAGTCGCTGCAGTTAATCCATCTCGACTACCTCGTAATAATAGCTTTAAATCAAATGATTGAGTTAATTTTGTATTTTGCGACTTTATCCATCCACTTATTTATTAATTTCATTTCGAGTAAAGTATTATGGTGTCAGCAACAGCATCATTATTATTATTATTTGAATTTCGAATAGGATGTTTGTTAGCTTGAAGATCACCGCTTCCTGATGATGCAATAAATCCTTGTAAAGCTTTGCTGATAAGAGTTCCGAATAGGGCATTACTTTATTGCAAAACTCAACGGAATTTATGTAGAATAAAAAAAAATCAATGGTGAACTTTGTTTAAGCAATAATTTTAATTGTCAAATTCGTTTTGTGTCCATTTTTCGACAAAGCTCGTAAAATCAACATTCTCAGAATTGAAAGATTGAGCAGTTCCTCATTCAAGAACCTTCTCCCAAATTTTAATTTCTTGAAGGTTCAGCTCGTACTGTTTGAGCAAAGAAACTAACGTTTTTTTGAAGCTTTGCAAAGTCATTTGATTGAAATATAATGGCAGGATTTTGACATGCAATATTTGTACAAAATTTATGAAGTTTCGTAAAGAGTCATGTTGAATACGACTTGATTGATCAAGGAGAAATTTTCAATCATCGACTCGATATGATACTCCAAAAGAAGGTTTTGAATGTATTCAAGTAATTTGCCGAGAACCAATTCATCCGCAGCAATCAATAAGTCTAAAAATGTCAACACTCCATCGACAATACATATATTTAACACATAATAAAATTTATTATACATGTATAATACAAGTCATAATTTATTTACCTCAATAAGATTTCAAAAACGCGCGGACGAAATATTTTTTTCTTAAAAATAATTTTATTTGGTTCCACGTATCGGAAGCAAAACATTGGATTGCGCCATTAAATAAGTAAACCTTTTCCATCACCAACAATGATTGAAATATCAAAAAAATTGCCATTTTCGTAAAATTTGGCCAATTTTTTTGAATGTGAATTCAACAATGTCATTTTATTTTATTTAATTATTTAATCTCTTACTTTATCGGTATGAAGATACGTGTGTACAAATCATTATCGTTATTACATGTACATTTTATACCAGCCTGACAAAAGATCGGCAACTGGAAAAAATCAAACTAATGTTACCGTTACCATTAGCATTAGAGTTCCCTTAACGTTAACGATCATAACGATAAGGATATCGATATGTCCCAAAAAAATTTACACCGCCACAACTTTTGCATATCGATATGTAAATTTTAAAAAAGTTTCTCCTTTTTAAATTCATTGAATAGTGATACAATAAAAAGACGTGCTTGAAGGTATAGTTTGTGATAATTTGAAGTGTTCATTCATAGAACTATAGGATTTTAGTCCATCTCGAGTTAAAGAAATGTTGAAATATTATACATGTAGATAATTTTATTGATGTGCATGCAACAAAAAAAACATGACAAAAAACGATGTTTCTTAAATTTAAAGATCATTTCAACAATGACTTCAATACGTGTGCTCAAGAGTTCCGAACATAAAGTATTGGTATTTCATTTTATTGCACAGTTAAATATCTTAAATGTATTAGAACACACAATATTAACCAAACATTGTTTTTTTAAGTTTGCTTAGGTTAGGGTTTATTTTCTTATTCGAGTATATTTAATCTCAAACTTTCAAGCACAAATTTACATGCTTCAATTTGTTTTTTTATCGTGCAACTTTATCCACGACTATATCTTTGCATGATGCCCAACTGTAGACTGCAAATTCTAGTCATGTGTGATTTTTACTCCTTTGAATACGTGTTTTATTTACACAAAAATAGCAGTATATATTTGATATGTAAGAGTAAATTAGTTACAGCTGTTTTACAAAATACTTAAACCGCTGTCTCCGTGTCTCCATATCAGAAAAACCCCGCTATTAGGTGTTCCATTGCCCCACCTGCCCCATATCTCAGCTCCTCTCCTCTGTCCATAATAGTTCCAGGAGTGGGTGTGATATGTCTTAACGAAATTGACCGAGCCATCAATTAAGATCTGTCCATTTATTTTAAAGCTTCCAACACTATCTGAACCAGACCCATCAATGGCATTCCCAGTAGATTTCAAATTGATTGACATTTGGTCACTGTTGTCATTCGTACTATAGAAGTAATATCCGCGCCAATTCCCTGTAAATGAATGTGTCCCAACCTCGAAAACCCGTCTAATAATGAAACTTCCAAGATTTGGTTGGTTGTTGGTGCCCCATTTTCCGAAAAAAAGTTCTCCGTTATATTGACCTCGATAGATCCAAGCTAAATTGTGATTTGTGTAAGACTTGGTAAAGGTGATGGTTCTTGAGGATGGAATAAACTGGCCGTTATTGATAGTATATGGACCTACAACATCTATCCCACTACCGGCAATAAAGAAAGCGAAATTGTGGGCAGAAAATGTTAATTGTGAGGTTGATAAATTTGGCTGATTCGGTTCGTTAGTATAGAATATATTGTATTGGCCATCCCATTGAGACATGGAAGAACCTTAATAAAATAAAAAGAAATCAATTGACTTTGTTTTTAAAGAGTAATTAAATATAAATTATCAGTAAATTATTTATAATTTCACCCACCACCCGATCCTTCGTCTCCGTGTCTCCAAATCAGAAAAACCCCGCTATTAGGTGTTCCATTACCCCACCTACCCCATATCTCAGTTCCTCTTCTCTGCCCATAATAGTTCCAGGAGTGGGTGTGATATGTCTTAACGAAATTGACCGAGCCATCAATTAAGATCTGTCCATTTAT